GACCAAACCAGGAGCAACCCACCACTGGTTCTGAAGCTGCCACTGCATCTGTGTGAATGTCCAGCTGAAGTGTTACCTGTGCATGCGTAGACAACCAGGACAGATCTCGAAGCAGCTTGTAAAGGATGTGCCTGCTTTTACCCTTTAAAGAGCATTGCTTTATATGAGTGCCTTTTGAGAAGCATCTCCTTTAGAATGCTATGCACATCCCCAGTACTAGTAAACTCTTCTGTTTCAGATTCAGCTCAGGGTCAAAGAGGAAGGCAATATAGATCTTGAAGAACTATTAGAATGCAATTCCAGTACCTAGACAAACAGGTTGGAATTCTAGCAGCTGGTACTTCCAAATTGTTTCAAGGTCACTCATTCATAATGCCTTACCATAATTAAATTTTGTTCTCATGGATCATGTGGCCAAGCCACCCCTATCCTGTGCTATCCAAGAAGTGGTTTTTTATGTTGTTGTTGTTGTTGTTGTTGTTGTTGTTGTTGTTATTATTATTATTATTATTATTATTATTATTATTATTATTCCCTAAAAAGACTATCGGCTTCTTAAATAAATAAAGTTGCACAACACGGTGAACACGGTGGGTTCTACTTACCTTTACTACCAGTTTGCATCGCACCTGTGTGCAATCTTCTGCGCATGCACAGAAGCTTTTGTGCATGCACAGATCTCCTATGATGATGTCCGGGTCAGTGGGCGGAGCCTCCTGCTGGTTTTACTACTGGTTCTTGTGAACCAGTCCGAACCGGGGGCAACCCACCACTGGGTGAAGCACACATTAACCAACAATATTCTCTAGTGTCAATAGCTGATTGCTCATTGAGTACCTGTAATTGAACATTGGATGGGGTTTTTTTTTGTTTGATACAAATTTGTTAGTTGTATCTTATGATTTATGATTGTATCTTATGATTATGATTTATCATTTCATTATTTTTCATGTATGTGAGAGTTTATCATGTATGTAAGTCCAAATTCCATGAGCGTCCAATCGCACATGGCCAATAAAGAATATTTTATTCTAAATCACGATTTTGAAAACTGAAGTAGTGTTGTTTCACATCCTTCCTTTCTGTCCTGTGTGATTTTGCAGCAGTGCATTCTGGGAGAAATAAGAAGGGGACTTCCCAGAACAGCTGGCCTTGAATTTCCGCTCTTGCTAACAATAATTTGTTTCTTATTGCCAACCACAACAGGCGAAGTTCTCCATTGCCAAAGGCTACAAAGGGCATGATTATTCCCATCCTCTCCATATTAATTGCAGGAGAAATGAAAGCACAGCCAAATGGATCTCATTAATAGTAAAACAAATGCACACTCCAAGAAGTAATGTGAAAACGCATGACATTTTTTAAAAAAATCATAGCAACCAGAGTGCTACACTCTAAATGCTGGGAAGGGTTTAATCCTTTTTCTTGCACAGTTATCAGTACCCTCAAAGCTAATATTAACTCCATAGAGGGAGGAAATGCAAAGAATTGGTCGGTAGGTCTAGAAGAAGCTTGGGAGGGGAGCATGATTTAGATTGTGCAAATAATGTGAGAAGGAAGATATCACCACCTTTACCCTGGTCAAATTAATACTCACCTAGTAACTGCTTTGAAATAAATATCTGAAGAGCCATCATAGATTATCTGTGACATGTTTTGGCCCCAAGCTTCTCTGTTAATTATGTAATATCAACACAACATTTATATGACAAGATCAATGCTTTTTACCTAAGAGTCATAGCGAAAACAGGTTAATAAACCAGGAGTTTAAATTAGGACTGCAGTGTGATTCCAAGTAGAATGGAACATCAAACATGAGAGAATCCCTCTGATGGTGCCAGAAACATTGGAAATCTCAGAAGAGCCACATAATATCAAACCAAAGATTTATCCAATCCAATGATGGCCCATAAGACACCAATGGGAAGGGCAGAAGGTGGTCATTCAGAACACCCCTGCTGGATCAGGCCTTTCTAAAATTGCTATCATATCTGAGCTGCTTAAAACCCGCTGATTATGAAGTGGCAGCCCAGAAATGTCCAATTTCTCTTTGCTGCCATCTAGAGATCACCAAGAGTTCTGCAGCCATAGCTATACATCTAATCTAGCATTTCTCATCATATGGAGACTATTAACAAGCAGATTCATTCAAGAAATTCAGATATGGAAAGAAAGGTAGGAATTTCTTACATTGTTGTGCCCTAGTCAACATTATTGAAAGGGGCCTCCTACTGATTCCAGAAGTAATTAACAGACATCAGAATTAACAACCCAAATAGATAAATCTTCCATAAATTAGCTGAGTTTCCTTTCAAAACCATCTAAATTGGGGGCCATTTTATCAGTCCTATATCTCCCTACCTTTAATTATCATGGTGATGATAGATAGGTAGGTAGGTAGGTAGGTGGATAGGTGGATAGATAGATAGATAGGTAGGTAGGTAGGTAGGTAGGTAGATAGGTAGATAGATAGAGTAGATACGATAGATAGATAGATAGATAGATAGATAGATAGATAGATAGATAATCTACTCTCTCTCTCATATCTATATCGCCTAAATCTTCTCCCTTTTAAGTGTAAATTTTAAATTTTTACTGTATTTTAAAATATGGGAATTTTAAATTATGGGTATTAATTCAGCCAAATTTATTTAATTCATTTTATTCGATTTTAAATTTTGTATATCTATGTGTTTTATTTCATGGCTGTGCACCGCCCTGAGTCCTTCGGGAGTAGGGCGGTATAGAAATTCAATAAAATCTAAATCTAAATCTATATCTATCTATCTATTGCTATCTATCTATCTATCTATCTATCTATCTATCTATCTATCTGATAGATAGATAGCAATAGATAGATAGATATAGATATGAGAGAGAGAGTGTGTGTGCATGTGTAAGTATAAGATAGATAGATAGATAGATAGATAGATAGATAGATAGATAGATAGAT